ATCATGACGTAGGGCCTGCGTCGTGACATCATGACGTAGGGCCTGCGTCGTAACATCATGACGTAGGGCCTGCATCGTGACATATGATGTAAGGGCTGTGCCAGGTGACATCATGACGTAGGGCTTGCTGTGACATCATAGCGCACAACATTCTTTCTTTCGCTCTCGATGAAGTCGATCGCCATCACCCTCTCTCCCTCCCTCTTGCTTTTTTGCTCTCTTCTCCTGTGAACCTCCTCAGAGCCTCTCTTGACACATCTTCTGAATCTAACATTGTTATGGATCTGGTCAGCTGGTCTCTCAACCCAATTGATAATTTTTTCTCCCAGAACACAGGATGAAGGAGAACCCTCTTGTCCTGAACGTACACACACAGTTGGATACATCATGGATTCCTGGGGTGTTTGGAAGATGATGTTCCTGTCTGTATTGTCTGTTGAGGACGTAGAAGATGCATACATAACTGGATTTATGATAACAGGGTTTCTGTTTTTTGGAATCGGCAGATACCTGGGTTATCGTCTAATGAGGAAGACGTTGGCAGCAGTTTTGGCAGCAGTAAAGCTGCCAGCCTTATGAAGGATTACTCCGTGCTTCGAGCTCTCAGACTAATATGTTTTGCGAGCTGAACCATAAGTTGGATGCGATTTCTGAGAATTGTGGGCCACTTGCAGCTCCTAGGACTCGCCGGCATGAAGGATTTGACCTTGGAGAAGGCTAACAAGCACGGACCGGCAGAAAGTCCACGTATCTGGCTGTTTGGATTTGCCATTGAGTGAACAAGCAGAAGTGAAGGAAGACATTTCAGTCTGCATGCCCAAAATGATGTTTTTTTTTTTATCTGAATTTGGCCTCCCCGCTGGCCTTGAATAGGCCAACTTATCTCAAATTGCTTCTGGAGGATACCTAAACTAAGAAGCTCATCAGAATTGTGCTGCTGATAGACACTGTACCATCATATCAGAACTTTGGAACTTTCTGGAGTGTCCACGGATAACTCACCTTTGTTGACCTTCTATGCATAAATGTATTATGAGGTCATTGTACTTTGTATGTTGCTGTTTATGTTACAAGGTCTTTGTTGCATCTTTTACATTGTTTCCCATCCAGGACATGTTGTGAGACGTGTTTTTATTTAAATATTCTCCACCCTCATGTTCTCTTTTCCTCATCATCTCCATATGTTGCAACAGGTCTCTCTTGTAAATGAGTCCTTGAGGCTCAATGGGAACTAACATGTATAAATACAGGTTGAATGAAAAAAACAACCTGCATCATAACATTGTGACGTATGGCCTGGGTCATGACATCATGATGTACGTCCTGTGTCATGATGTACGATGTAAGGGTTGTACGCTGTGATGTACGACCCAGGCTATACGTTGTGATGTGACTACTGTTTTAAATTGAACGGCTCTTTGAAACAAACAGATCTTGAAGGTGTGGCTTCCTTCAAAGAGCCGTTCCTACATTATCTCTGTAATAACATTTTGTGAGACGTAGAGTGTAGCTGTGGGTTGTTTGCCCACATGGGTGGCGTCCATCAGTAATCAGCATGGTCTTCGTTTGAAGGACAAGCGGCCATCTGTTTCAACTGGCTGGGATGTGAGAGGAAAGAAAGTAGAAACAGACACAGAATGACAGGTCCAGATGTACTTTCTATAGGAGGAAATACAAAAAAAAAACATGTTAAGATAGAAATAATTACAAATACAAACGGGTAGAGTAGAGCAAGTAAAGACGGCAGCAGAGAGGGGACATGTGGTCAGTTTGTCCTTCAGCAGTCTAAGCCTATAGCAGCAGAACTAAAGGATAGCTCAGGAAACCCAAGCTGACCCCAGCTATAGGATTTATCAAAAATGAAATAATTAAGCCTAATCTTAAAAGTAGACAATGTGTCAGCCTCACGGACAGAAACTGGAAGTTGGTTCCATAAGAGAGGAGCCTGAAAATTGAAAGCTCTGCCTCCCATTCTGCTTTTAGAAACTCTAGGAACCACAAGTAAGCCTGCAGTCTGAAAATGAAGTGGTCTGTTAGGAAAATATGGAACAATAAGATCTTTATGGAGCCAGGTTGTTGAGAGCTTTGTAGGTTTGAAGTAAGATTTTGAATTCAATTTTGGATTTAACAGGGAGCCAATGAAGAGAAGCTAAAACTGGAGAGATATGATCTCTCCCACTAACTCCAGTTAAGACTCTGACAGCAGCATTTTGGATTAATTGAAGACTTTTAAAATAAATTTTTGGACATCCAGATAATAAACCATTGCAATAGTCCAGTCTAGTTGTGACAAATGCATGGACCAGTGTTTCTGCATCATCTTTAGATCAGATGTTTCTAATGTTAGTGATATTACGCAGGTGGAAGAAGGAGGTTCTAGTAACGTTTTTAATGTGGGGGATAAAAGACATGTCCTGATCAAAAATAACACCAAGATTTTTAACATCAGAGCTGGAGGACAGATTAATGTCATCTAAGGAGGGAGAAAGACTGAAAAAAAAATCATTCTTAAGATGTTCAGGTCCAAAAACTAAAACCTCAGTCTTGTCTGTTCAACAGGAGAAAATTAAGGGTCATCCAGGTTTTTATGTCTTTAAGACATGCTTGTAGTCTAAGTAGCTGATTGGATTCATTGGGTTTAATGGACAAATATAACTGAGTACCATCAACATAATAATGAAAATTTATCCCATGCTTTTTAAAAACATTACCTAATGAAATAATATATAAAGTAAGAGTATTTACTTGTTCCAAGCACTGAATCTTGAGGAACTCCATGACTAACTTTGGTGCATGGTGAAGATTCATTATTTACATTTACGAATTGGAATCAATCAGATCAATGTGATTTAACCCAATTAAGAGCTGTCCCTGTAATTCCAATATATTCAAGTCTCTGTAAGAGAATATTATGATCAACTGTGTCAAAAGCAGCACTGAGGTCTAACAGGACCAGTGGAGACACCTGTCCATTGTCCGAGGCCATGAGAATATCATTAGTAACTTCATCAGTTCAGATTCAGTGCTGTGGTGAGCTCTAAACCCTGAATGAAACTCTTCAAAACTGATTATTTCTGTTCAGACATTCACACAACTGGTTTTCAACTATTTTATCAATAATTTTTTTAGATGAATGTTAAATTAGATATCCTGTAGGTCTATAATTGGCCAAAATTTCTGAATCAAGATCAGGTTTCTTAAATAAAAGTTTTATCGTAGCAACCTTAAAACATTGTGGTACATAACCAGAAAATCTACCTCTACCTCAAACTACCTCAACCAGACCTCTTTAAACAGTCTGGTTGGGATGGGATCCAGCAGACATGTGGATGGTTTGGTTGAAGCTTTTATTTTTGACAATTCAGAGAGCTCAACTGGACTAAAACAGTCCAAACAAAAATCGGGTTCTAGTGACATTTTTAAAGTTGACTCATCTTATGCAGAATCAGAGGTGATAGTAGGAAGGATGGTTTGAATTTTCTCCCTAATTGAAATAACTATTTATAAAGAATCTCATGAAGTCATCACAGCTTGTAGCCGTAGGGCTACACGGTTCAACAGAGATAGGACTTCTCATTAGTCGAGATGGTACAGAACTACCTGTTTGTTGCTTTTCTTTTCTGTTTTCTTCCAACTTAATTTGCTGTGAAACACGTTTTTGTCCCCCTTTGTTCTATGAAACGTCACCTTTCCTATCCCTTTAAGGCACCTGTATGGGATCCATGATAGAGGTCGTGCTCTCAGGTGGTTTGTTGTGTTGGAGTTTCATCTTATTGTGCGTGTATGTGTTGTTGGCGTGTTTCCACACCAAAACATTTAGTTTGTGATGTGTGTTTTCTGGATGTTTAGCAGCTGAGGTTTCCGCCGATCACACTTCACTGTTTTGATGTTGTACCAAAGAATTTTATAAAATAATTAACATTCATATCATTAAACCTTCTATTCTTTCTGTATGTAGAGCATACAGATTCTGAACGAGTCTTTATTAAACTCGTAGTCTGACCGTGACACTAAGATTAAAGAGAGATTTCATGTTTCTACAGAAGGAAACAGCAGGTTTGTAGGAGTCCTGTGAAAAAACTGCTGCTGTTTTTTTTTTTTATCACATTATTTCCTGCATCACATTCAGTCTGAGGACAGTGGCCTCCTGTAACAATGAGAATAAGTGTTTTTATGACAGCGCAGATTTTACGTCTGTGAAACTCAAATTCACGTAATTCCTGCCTCTGAAACAACCGAACAAAATAAATCCAACAGTTTTACAGTTTTATTGTGCTGTCAGAAGCTGTGAAAATGTTGGAATAAGAATCATTTTGTCTCATTAAAACACCAACAGCTGCAGCGCCGAGTGCAGCGCAACACTTCCACAACTCGTCTAATCAGATCCATTTGATCCTCGATTCACCCAGAGAAGACACAAAAACCCAGACCAGAAACCTGGACCAGACACCTGGACCAGAAACCTGGACCAGAAACCTGGACCAGAAACCTGGACCATCAGGTAAACAGAGTTCACTTCATTCCAGCTTCTCACCAGCTGGTTTACGTTTCGGATGTTCAGCTCAGATCAGTCTACCTCGACCGTTATGTCTGACCGTCTGCTCCTGATTTAAAGCCCCGCCTCCTCCAGCCAGCAAAACTCTTCTTCTATTAACAAGAGGGAAACTGTTTGTCGTCAGGTCTCTGTTGATCGTACACCGTCCGTAGGATGAGGAGTAGACCTGCTTTCTACATCGTGCCTTCCGTCTGTTCAATCGCCATGGGAACGCAGTTAGTAAAACACAAGAATGAGTCACAGTTTAGTTCTGCTTTCAACTTTGTTAGGACCAAAAAACAAAACTAGAATCAGTCGCACGCCTCTACTGCCACACCCCTTAGTTTGACAAGCTCTGAATTAAAGCAAAGACATCTTATACTGCTAGACCAACCGTTGGAGCAGGATCCAGTATTTTGTTCATGTGGATCCAGAGTCTGTACATTAACAGCAAGAAGCTTTGAGCTAGTCCTGTTTGGCTTCAACTTCTTGGTTCTGGTCGGTGTTCGGTTTAGGTTCTGGAGGTTTCAGCAGGTTTGAGGCAGCCATGTTGTTTGTTTTGACCTTTGCTTCAGTCTGAAGTTATTTGGTTGCATCAACATGTTAATTAATGTTTTTATTATTATTATTATTGTTGTTATTTGTTTCAGG